TTCAGCTACTGTCATGTACTCAACTTCAGTTGTAGATAATGTCACAATAGACTGAATTGTTGATTTCCAATATATAGGTCCTCCACCAAGAGTAAACACATACCCAAGTGTAGACCTTCTGTCATCCAAATCACCTGTGTAGTTTGAATCAACGTACCCCACAGCTGAAGAATCATTCTTCTGACTGCCAAAAATAATTTCATGTCCTACAGTACCCTTCAGATACCTGAAAATTCACTTGACTGCTTCCTAATGTCGCCTTCTAGGTTTAGTCATGTATTTGTAGACTTGACTAACAGCATGAGCCAAATCAGGACGAGTACATACCATAACATACAGCAAGCAACCAACTGCACTGGCATATGGAACTTTTGTCATGTCTTCCATTTCTGTATCAGTCTTAGGACACTGTTCCGAAGAAAGCTTAAAATGATTTGCCAAAGGAGTGCTCACAGGCTTTGCATTGATCATCTAAAACCTTTCCAGCACTTTCTCAACATAGCCTCGTTGAGATAGACATAATCGTCGTGAGTCTCTGTCTCGATGAATCTCCATTCCAAGAATCTTCTTCGTAGGACCCAAGTCTTTCATGTCAAATCCCTAACTCAATAAAGCTTTCAAACCACGGACATCATTCATATTCTTTGCAGCAATCAGTATATCATCAACATACAGTAACAGAAAAATAATAGAACCAACATGAAGACTTTTCACATAAACACAGCAATTATACTCACATCGCCTATAGCCAATTTGCATCATGTAGGAGTCAAATCGTTTGTATCATTGTCTTGGAGACTGTTTCAACCCATACAACGATTTCTTTAACCTGCAAATTAGATGCTCATGTCCATGTTGAGTGAACCCTTCTGGCCGCTCCATGTAAATCTGCTCATTCAAAGCACCATGCAAGAAAGCAATTTTAACATTCATATGCTCCAAAGGCAAACTCAAATAGCTACTAATGCAAGCACTGCCCTGATTGAAGTATGTCTGACCACAGGAGAAAAGATTTCATCATAATCTGTCCCCTTCTGTTGCGAAAATCACTTTGCAACCAGTCGAGTCTTGAACTTTTCTCCTTCTTTTTCTGATACAGTTGGTTTCCTTTTGTAGACCCATTTGCACCCAATGGCCTTTTTTTCCCTCTGGAAGTTGAACTAGCTTCCAAGTGTGATTTTTCTACAAAGACTTCATCTCCTCAACCATTGCACCCATTCATTTTACTTTCTCCTGACTGGTGATAGCTCCTTGAAAAGTGGCTGGATCATCGCTGCTGATGAGAAGTGCACA